GGCGGTTCTTGGTCTCCTCCAGCATTTTCAAGATCTAGAGCTAATGAGTCTGATTAAGTTCTCAGATATTGATTAAATTCAGCAAACAATATATAGGATAGTGTTGCACGTATGCTGGATTCTGTTTCATTTAAACACTGTTTGGACAACACGAACCTTCAGTTTATGAGGACAGAGTGTCACAAAGGCTGCAATGCCTAGCAGATTTCAGCGACTACCAAACATTTCCTAAAAGCCTATTGAAACCTTACAGCCCTCACTACTGACAAGTAACCCAACTCTAGTTGGGTGTCAGATGGCATAGAGAAAAATTGTTTTGACTGTACAAGTTATTTTCCTGTCTTTGTGAAATAATGAAATTGGAGCAAATTTTGTTTTCAAAAGTATTGACTTCCTTCTTAAGAGTAATATGAAATTAATTGTTCAGAATTATCTTCACATTAAGGTTTGTGACTGGGTTGTGGAGGCTAGTGTTTTTCCAAAGATTGTTACTTTCCTTTCTATACAACAAGGAAAAACACTGGTTCCGCTCTCAGAAGATGTATTTGGTTATATTTGACTGACATTAAGGCATTATGATTGCAAAGACTATAAAAAAAACCCCACCCTAATCCAAAACAACACATTTGGCACCAGTCTCCTGATTCACATGCAGGTCAAACTCTCCCTCACCTTAAGCATAACTAAATGAGATTCTGAATTCACATAAAAAACCAGCTTACCCCTTGGGAGTTAGGCCCTTAAAGATTTTAAAGCTTACCTCTTGGAACTGTATTAAGGTTATTTCTTTCAACTGACAATACTTTCAAAGCAGGCAGGAGGCGAGAGTCTTTTCCATTCTTCTGAGACCCATGTCCAGGCATAGGTATGTCCAGTGTCAGGGTGTGGATGGCGTTATCATTGAGGTTGAGAGTTTCTAAAATGGGCAAATTTCTAAAAGTAGTTAAGGAGACTTCAGAGATCAGGTTGTTACTAAGATTCAGGTGTTTAAGCATCCATTCTTCATTTCCTCCATCAGCGTGCAGAAAAGTTTTAATGTTGTTGTAACTAAAATCAGCTGTTACTGCCATTTGGAATACATCTGGAATCAGAGATAGTCCAGTGAAAGAACAATTCACTGAGAACTCCCGATCCCACCAGCAGTCTGAATGGTTATGTGTATCAAGAAGGATCTGCTGTGACTTGATTCCCACTAATCCAGGAAGATTAAAGTAAAGGGCCACAGTTATGACACTCAAGTGAAGGTTATCCATAGTTCCTATATGGAAAATGCAGAATTACAGTGAGTACAGCATAACGAGAGTTAAATGAGAAGCGGAAATACTTTCACATAAAAAAAATCAACACCAAGTAATTACCTGAAGCATTACTCACATTTCACCTTAAACATACAAAACCATTACATTTTTGGACTCTTAGGTATGTTTCAGAAAACATTCATAAATTGATAACCTACCCCCTCACTCCACCTCTCCCCAAAAATAATCCGAACCGTTCCTTTCCAGCCCTTCAGTCGAGAAACGCGGCTTCTCAGGACCTTGTGAACAAACAATGGTGGAGACTTTTGAACTCTACTTCAGGTATCATACACAATTACCACTGAGCAAAGTCCACTGGATATCATCCATGACAAAGAGATGTGGAATGATTTTCATACTTACACTTAATAAAATACCAGTTTCCCTGTCAATAACATCAATGTATTTTTAATGAAAAACTACATCTGTATAAATAATACTTCTGAACCACAGCTGCGTATGTTAGAATTTATTGTTTCATTGCAAAACAAAGATGAGAAATGCAATTGTCTTCTACCTATTGAAACAACCACCACCTTTACATATGCTGAGAATTCTTCACATTTAAGTTGTTTCAACGTACCCAGTAAGGTGTTTTACACACAGGCATGTAGAATGTACTTTAAACACACAATCTTAAGTGCATCTGTAGGATTACAATAAATAATGTGCCACACCATGTTTTAAATACATAAAGAAAAATGTACCTTAGACAGTTAGAAGATAAACAACCAATAAATGCACAGCACATGGCATGTGTGGGGCTGACACTCCCCGAACTGTGTAGTGAAGGCAATAAAAATATTAACAGTACATAAATAGTGGTAACAAATGGATATTCTATTTCATTAGGTACCTGTATTATCAGTTTTGCTACATTTGAACAAAAAATCCACACTTCCAAGACCAACTCTCCAGACCATGATTTAAGAGTACCTTTATGAGAAATATTTCAGCTGTGTTGCATATGGTATTTTAAACAGAACTCTTGACAATCGAAAGAATCTAATAGTTGTATATAGGCACGTCAGTATTAACCAAAGAGGTTTAACGTGCTCCCCATGTGTAATCTACTTGACCAAGGCAGTATATGCCATTTTCAAGATTTCAGCTTTAAGGATACTGCTGCTTTTATTTTATAAGTATGTGTGTATTTATATAAAAATAAAGTGACAAACTTCCATTAGCATGAGTGAAAATTCTAAAATTTTTAGTTTATTTCCTTCTCAATACTGTAACAGCTAGTAATTTGGGCACTCCTTAGTGACAATGATGTATGTATGTTTTCAGCAAAATGTGTGTTTAAGTGGTTAACAAATATTAACTGTAGTAAAACTAGAAAGTTCAGGAAGTATAACAAATGTTAGTACTTTCCTGTGATCTTTACTGTGAGCAATTCAGTGACTTTTGCTACATTTTATTCTGCTTATTCTGTTTGTCAGAACAGCTCCAAGGCTACCCACCCCCTCCAACCCCTTACAACTGCTGAGCATCAATATCAGGCTTTGCTTTAGAGTAATGACCCCTCTGACCTCCTGTGTGGCAGAATGCCCGACCTGAGGATTCCCCCTCCAGAAATCACCTCCACCCACACACACCCTGCGTGAGGACTTACTGACTGCTAATAAATACAGCAACTGGGACCTTAGATATGAACTTCTTGTTGCAGCAGGAGCTGATTTGTATCTTGTGGAATTCTAAGTACTGCAAGAGCTATAAAACAAGGGCAGATACTTTATCTTCCCTAAATAAATTACCAATTCTGAAGTTAATGTGTAACATTTGCACAACTTTTAGGAAGAGAATTGTGTGCTTATCTAGAAAAACTTGTCAAAAAACTACTTGCAAAGTAAATGTTACTTGATGTGACTGTGAAACAAAACGATTTTAAAATGAAGAAAATATGGGGGGTGGTGGAGTGGATAACTTACAATGAGCTGGTCTATTTTTAGTACACAACGCCTTACCTCTGCAAAAGCACTTACAAGGCTATTAACAGTTTCTATAAGGTCCCAGTTCACCATAGGCACAGTTTCACTGTTGGCAACTTCAAATGCACATGTATATACTCTGCTGTCACAGGAATTGGTGCCCTCACCTTTAGAATAACAGACTTGCAGTTTTACTCCAGAATTTCATTCTGAGGTTCTCAATAATGCATCAGTTCTGATGTTTACAGGGAGACAGATCTGATCTCACACACTGCTGCTTAAAAGTCATGCTCCAGATTATTACCTGTTGAGTAACTGTTCACATTCAACCACTCAGGAAATTACTTTTTTTGGGTAGTGAGCAAGTTGTCAGTGCATCTTTAAAAATGTACTTCTAATATAAATACATTTTACAAATACTTCACATAAATTAAGCAACCGTAGAACCCCTAAACTGCACAGATAGACTAGGAGCTCAAGCAATACTTAAATAACTGTAAGATTACTTTGAAATTGGAGTTACATTTCCAAACTTGATATTATTGATACTTGCAAATATTATTTGTGCTAGCATATTTTTTTTAATTACATGGGAATATATGGCAGAAATAATGCAATATTTTAAAGTGAGTCTGCCATTACTCCTCTTAGTACACATATGGTAAACCACATAATTTTGGGGGAAATCATTCCATCAGCCTTTAGCAACAAATGAAGACAAAAAATGGCCACTTCCACCATCCCAGGCAAATCCACTTCCAACAACAGATTGACATTCCTATTGAAGTATTTCATATTGAAGTTGTGTTCTCAGCAGCCCTTGAAGTCTTGGGAGGCAGAGCAAACTTCCCTTAAATGCAGCCAAAGGCAGTCGAGATTGTTGCTGAGATCACATGGGTTGAATATATATTCTACTGATCCAAATTCAGGAAGGTACTTCAGAAGGCATGTAGACCAAAAGCTCAGTACGTCAGTGCCACTGCTGCAGCTAACAGGACAGTGCTGAAATACTGCTGAACACAACAGCCTTTGCTTTAAAATATTATGTAATAAATGTTAGTATAAACTGCTGTAAAAACATAAATCCTTGAAGGCATGCAATTACTTCATACAAATATATGTAAACACAAAAGAGAGCTCTCCTGGTAGTGGTTTGCACTCTAGTGCGTGGCTCCACACGGATTGACAGAAGTCTGGCACCCCATGTTATAACCTGTCACCTGAACCTTGAACAGTGTCCCGTCTGCGCACATGCAGAGCTTGAAACGCAGCCAGTTGCCGTTATTAAACTGTTCCCCGTAAGAAGAACTTGGCAGTCTCATTGGGCTGACCATCACAGTTCCATTCAGGATTATACTGTTTTCCTGTTAAGAGGGAGAAAAAGAAGTACAGCTTCTAATTTAAACAAGGCAAGTGGTTTTTCAAAAGAACAAGCTGTTTTAATGAATCAATGGCATCTTTAGGATGGCTGTAGAAATCAACAGAACAAAAAAAGTACATAACACAAGGTTTCGTTTCTAATCAAATTTGTAAATAACACCTATGGATTTATTAATTATTGCCAACAATGTGCTTTGCTGTTCCAGTGGCAGACAGGTGTTGAGAGAGATAGCAGCAGTGTGGCTCTTCACTTGACAGAACTATTAGCAAATGCAGTAAATGTAAAAATATGTACATGAAATGGAAAGCAGTGTTTGAATTCATACATGAAATTCATTCAAAAATCAAAGTGCAGGTATCTCTATTTTTTATCTTCCTTTAACCTTTTCCATCATTCGGTATACTCTGCAATCTTAACAATGTCCAAATATCTTAAAAGAATGCTGGTGAGCTTTGCTGTGGCAGCACAGAAAGTATTACTCCTACTTGTATGCTCCTTTGTCAAAGGTTGCTGTCCCAAGTAAATCCTCCAGAAGAGATTAATTCCCATTGGTATTTGTTTCAGTGCAGAGGCTAATAGCTTAGCTTTAATTGCATTGTGGGTTTTTAGTGACTTAATAGTAGTAAATAATTGTTACCTGAAAGCTACTGAACTACCGATTAAAAGAAAAGTAATAATCCACCTTTTAGAACCCTTACTAAATATACCGACTGCAATGAAACTTTTATGCATGAGTACTTCAGATAAAACTTGAATCCATATAAAGCTACATCAGTTTATTATTTGGCTGAATTTGAAACCAAGCTGTTAAAAAAAAAAAAAGCTGATTTGAGGTACTTACTGCTTTAAGTTCCATGCTACCCCCCATTCGAAATTCAATGGTCTTGCCTGTTATGAAAACACCTTCATTTCCACGAACAATAGCACGGCCATCAACCTTTATGTTTAGATCACTGGTTGCATTGCTGGTAATCTAAGAACATTAACGAAAATAAATCCATTGCAGATCAATGAAAATGTGCTGCTTGGGTTTGTCTGAGTAACATTAATTACCTTAAAAATACTGCTACACAATTTAATAAAAATCTTCAATGCACTTTTTGCCTTTCTCTCATTTACGTCTGTCAAGCTTCTCCCCACTTCCACATTCAAATTTGAAAACAAGAATTACTTTATTTTGGAAGGTATATAAAATAGCTTATGTGTGCATTTTGTTTGTGATAAAAATAACAATGCATATGACAGTTTAATGGGATATACAGTTGACGCTGGTAGCAAATACAGGCTTCCTGACAGGAGTGACTATGTAAACCTACTCCTCTGTCTTCATCTAATCTGTCCCTTCCAAACTATTTATTTGTTGGCCAGCAAAGGAAACACAAAGAAGAACAAATGGAATAAACTTTTTTGTTTATCCTTAACAGGATTCTTCATGCTTCCTAAGGCCCACTCAGACCTCTAGAAACCCATCAATACTACTCTACTAACATTATACAAAAGAAATAGAGGCTGTACTCCATTTGTAAAGCCTTTATTATAAGAGATAATACGGAAGAAATTTCAGTCTGTCCTTAAGATCAACATTTTAAATGTACACACCATTATTTAGGTATTTTAGTTTTCCAATAAAATGTATTAAATGTAGAAACCAACTCAGAACTTCTTTCACCTAGAAGCCATGAACTGACATAACTCATATAATGCTGTGATTGTTTCTACACTTTTACTCTGGCTTCTGAAATTCTGATTGGATTACCATTTATCTCCAGCAGAAGGAAAATTATACATGAAGTTCTGGTAATTGTTTTTTAAGTTCTTACTAGAAACAGAGAAGCTTTTCATAGAAATATTATTTCTGAAACAGTTATCTAGGCACAAAAAAAATGATAAATGCTTAATGAAAAGACATACCTAGCTGGCATGGTATTCCAGATACTACGCTCATTTAATGATGTCAGTTTTCATTTCTGCTCTAATTTTTATGGTGATTCATGTTTTCAGAGCTGCATTTTTAGCTACGTTTGGTCAGATTTTTAAGTATGTTAGATTGTATTAGTAAACTTTTTTCTTATTCTACAACTATGGCAATTCTGTAACGAGATTTTATGAAAAGTAAAGGTACTTTAAAAAGACATACCCTCTCTGTAGAGGCTTTCTGTACATTCAAGATCTTAACTCCATTTGGCAGATGGAACTCGTGAGTTTCATAGTCTGTGCTGAACAAGGTATTTTGTGTCCTTGGGTCAACAAATTCCATCCCAACATCACTGGTAATAGATGTTTTGTCTTTTTCCACGCTCAGCTTAGTTGTGCCTTGCTGAAATACAATCTTCAGAAACAAAGTCATTACGTTAATCACGTTTCTAATATAATGTTCATTAATGTTAGTGTAATTCCATAGCGTTGCTCACAAACTTTCAGTTCATGATACCACTTACAGGCTGATTGTTTCCAGTGATCACTAAATCTTCATTACGCCTGCCTCCTACAGTGCTTTTATACAATGGATGTATGACACCCATGTCAGAAACTTGCTTAAACCTCAAGAGGCCACTCTCATGGAACTCCATACTGTCACAGCCATTGGGGCCGATTCGAATCACTGCCCAGATAACTAATGTAATCTGAAAGAGAAACACACATTTTCAAATATTTCTTTGATCGTCCGGATCTTCCCACAAGTACTGTATTAACTAGGTATTTTCTTTGAAAGAATTACTATTACTAGTGGTTAAGTGAGCTCTAGGCGTGAATTTACTTTAGTCTGTTTAATTCCTACTGGAAACACCAGAGCACATTTCATTATAAAACACATTTTGCATGATTTTTAGACTCATCTGAAATGGTAACTAAAATAATTTGTCTGTGTATATATATATAGATGTAAGTATACACATATATATATTTGAAATTAAAATATGTCCATAATTAAATCTTTTTCCTGTTTAAGTGTAATTATGGTACCATTACCTAATCAGATTTCCTGAACACAGTAGCTCAGTTCTGGATATATTTACCCTTGAACTACAAGAAAGCACTTTCACAGGAGGATGTCCACTTATGACAAATAATAGATTACTTCTCATCGATCAAGCTAGTAGTTAAAACACTGAAGGCTTAAAGTGCAGAGGCTGATTAATTCTGAATGTTCATCTGCAACTCTTATTATCTGTAAAATGTTCCTGTTTAATGGGAACATTTTTAACAGAAATTGCATAACAGTCTATCCTGAATGTATTTGTACTGTGCAAGTAATACTTCACACATTTGCTATTACTGAGTTTTGGGAATGGAGAGACAATTTCAAGGTTCCTAATTCTGTGTTACATAAAGGGTAGGTTCGTTGCTGGGACCATGGTAACTGAAATAATGATGACTGAATTTCCAAGATTCTAGCATCTAATCTTGCTCAGACTACAAAAGAACAAAAAGATAGGAGAAAAATGAGAAATCTCCTTCAGTATATTTTAATCTTTCAGTATATTTTATCTTTCTTGGCCACAGTGGAATAAGTTTTATTTCTCTAATAAACCTTCAAAATTAATCACATCCTAATGTTGCTTACAGGCTAAGTATTGTATAATGCACAATATTGGATAATACTCACAACGAGATTGATGACAGCCAAAATAAAAAGAAGAACAATCACACAAATGGCCAAGTTGCCTTTCCTGCCACGTAAGCCTGTCTTATGGAGACGGTCTTCATCAATGGGAATGTATCCCGCTTTGAAGTTGCTGTTGTGCTCCTTGTTGACATTCCTGCGCTCCACAGCCTTCTCCCGCATAGACTTCTTCACCGGGCCGTTGGAGCTTTGCTGTCATGCAAACACAGATGAGCTGTTGTGAGGCATGGGAATCTGCCAGAATTATACACAGGTATGGGAATCTGCCAGAATTATACACAGGTATGCATACAAAAAATTACAAATTTGAACTAACTAGTAGAACATATTACATATTATATTCAATATTAGACTTCAGTCTGCCACTCTGTAGTTAGAATACATGTTTACAACTGCTGCAAGCTCTCCTAATGTTATGACTAAAATGAAAATCCAGATAAAATATATATTGTCTGAAAATATATGTAATTTTTATTATGGCAGGTAGAAATTATTAGTAACAGTTCCAGTAAAAAAACCAAAACAAACAATCAGCTGTAAAGAACTTCATAGAGTTTTTACGTCTTGGGGATGATACAGGACATAATCCCACAGGTCATTTGCCAATACACAAGATTTTAGTTCCCCCCATGCTAATGGGGGCAGACTATCAATTTATCCAACAGGAGTGTGGTGGATACAGTTTTAAAGTTACTCTGATAGCACAGGGTTTGCATTCAACTTCTATTACATGCATGCAGCATGAAGAAAAACTCTGTAGGGCTTCAAGCCTGGCACGGAGAACTCGGCCAGCCTAGCTTTAATACTCTGAGGCAACTAAATTGCAAAGATACCCCTTCCATGCGACAATTTAACACAGAGGGGAAACTTGCAGATATTCACAGGAAAAAAATCCCTTTGATGTATTTTCATAACTTTGTCAAAAAATTTTTTTCCACCTCCCTTCAGTGGAGCAGGTTGCTACTTAGGGTTGAATTCCTCAAAGAAGAGGCTTGATCCTTCCGATGGGATTAGGTCTGCGCATCTGAAATGAATACTGAAGTTGCTCCCTAAGCTTACTGCATTTGTATGGGTCTACAGTGATAGAACAGTTAAAAATGTTGTCTGTTCCTTCTGTTGCTGAACAAGAACATTTTATCAAGCTTGGTGCTTGACCTGAACAGGTTTATGACGAGCTTCCTCGAAAGCCACTGCAACCCTGCACAAACTCAGAGCTGAGGGGGGAAGCGGAGAGATCTGTGCTCTGGGGAAAGGGAAATGGAAAACGCTGAGTAACACGACAGTATCTGGTCCCGAGGATGATGTGTTCTTGAACGGATCTGACGGCGAGATGTGCAGTTTTATCGCCCGTCAGGTAAGGGCAGCACAACTACAGACAGCAGCAGGACTGTGAGAACCCGGCTGGACAAAGCACTGGAGCATCCCTGCAGAGCTGGCAGCGTTACCGAGGCACTCGGGCGCGGCAGGTGGGATCCCCCGGCACTTCGGGGCTCGCTGCTGCCCCCGGCGCACAGGCCCACTGGGAGGGACGTTCCAAGAAG